CGGATTCCGCCATAGCCGATCTTTATGCAAGCCTGTTTTGGCAGTGGTTCGCAATTTTCATCATTGGATACGCTCCCACATTGAAAAAAGAATTTCTGCTACAATTTCTGCTTTTTCTTCAATCTACCATATTTATTTTCAAGGCGGATAAGAAACCGAGAAAATTCGCGGAAAAATGAGAAAGAAACCAGGTTTTTCTAGACTAAATTGTTCTATGTTTATTTATATGTGTGTATCTCGCGTGCGCGGCTTGATAAATGAAAAAGCGGAACGCGAACGGGCGGCTGCAGGTGAGAAAAAGAGAAACACCTGTGGTAAATGCGAGCGTACACACGCGCCAGAAGCGAGAAGGAGAGGCGTGTGTAGGACGGCGAATGAGCGTGGAAGGCAGGCGCAAGAAGAGAAGCGAGACGGGAGTGAGCGTTGCCGCGCCGAGAACATTCCAGCCGAGCGTTTGTAAACCGCAGAAAACAAATAAATTTAGGCACGCCGCGATTTGCGCGTACACCGTGCGCGCGTTCACAGGCGCGCCGCGACTTTCCCGACGCGCCCGCTTTCGGAAAAGATCTCGCGATCGGTCGGCAAAAAATCCGCTCGCTCTGCGGCATATCATCGAGTGTGTGCGCGAGAATGAAAGAACGGAAAACTCGCGATGGAAAAGGAAAACAAAATCTGTCTCTCTCTCTCTCTTAAGGGTATACAGAAACATATATATTGCATTCAAATAAATATTATATAATAATATACACTTGTTTCAAGTATTTCATAAGTTTATATATCCGCAATTTTATATTGTAAGTTCATCATAAGCATCAAATTTATTCACAATATATTCTGAATCCTAGCAAGTTTAGTACTTCAATCAAAAATATTAAATTAAAGCAGGCTTCCTTATTCAAATGTAACCGAATTTAACTTTTCTTCGATAAGATTTATAATGTTCTTGAAAGGAAGATAAATTCTTCTTTTGAGTAAATGATAAATAAACTCCTCTGAAATTTCCGATGAGTATATTTTACGACTATTATCAAGAAAATATTCTTTAATGAAGATAACTTAAAAAATGGAAGGTAAACTGAACAATCGTTTTTCTTAGCAGTAGTATGATATTCTTCTCTGCGTGTGTATATATACATATGCATACCTTTACTTCTTTCATTTTTTTCTGCCTTTATTATTAACTTGTACTATAATACCACAACAATAATGTCCTTAGAGGAAATTTCTCAGGATGCTGATGAAAACTTCTATAATAAAGCTCTTAAAGGCCCGTTGAGTCTCTTCGTTTGCTTATGCCCGAGAAGGAGCGGTCTCTCTTAACATTTCGATAACAAAGTATCTAATCTATCTATCTATCTCCCTCGCGGTAAAAGTGCGCGACGCTCTTGCGCGCTCATATCCGATCATTCCGCCCGGCATTCCTGCCGTTGGAAGCGATCCCTCGGAAATGCGATTTAATTTCCATACGAGTGCGCGCAACCTTCGCGCGAATACGCATTTTCCGCGAACGAAGGCGCGCTCGCTCGCTCGTTCGCGAGGTGATCGATCTCTCGCGTGGTCAATTTCGCGAATTCCGGCGCGCGGTGAAGAAATCGCGAGGAGAAGAGGGATAAAGAGAAAGAGAGAGAGAGAGAGAAGGAAAGAGGCGAAGGAGGAAAAGCGGGCGAGCGAGAAGAGGAAGCTGAACGCCGCGGATAGGAAGCACGTACTCGGCGGGAACGGCCAGAGAGAAAGAGAAAGAGAGAGGAAGAGAAAGACGCAGGAGCGCAGGTAGGAGCACAGGCGGGCAGGCAGGCGGGCGTACCTGCAATCTACCTGTGCTCCTCGACGCGCGACTCCAGTCACCGATCGAACGCTCGACAGATCGGTCGCGCACGGCCTGTACATTTCTCAGCCGATCTCGCGATCTGCGCGAGCGCGGAAGAGCGAGTCCGCCCGGCGCGGACCATGTGCACCCGATGAACCAGCGGTAACAACGAGACGACACCCGGCGTAACGATCGTCCCGATCGCGATTCATCACTCGGCGCGCGTATCGCGGTTTCTCGATCGAGATACGCACTGAGTACGGAGCGAACTCGTGCCTCAGCGAGACGTGGATTTTTCTCGTGTGATTCCCGGGGGAGAGGCAGATCTCGTGCGGAGCGCGCGCGAGGGTCGAAGGGTGGTTCCGAGTGCGGCGCAGTCTCCTCCGAGGGGTGAGTTGAGAAAATCCAACGATTGACCATAGGGAAATAATCATAATTTACCCACCGCTCTTCCCCGATACATCATTTCCCGCATGGGTTTCTCTTTACTTCCAGTGTCTCTTGCCTCTTTCCTCCCCCCCGCGTTTTACATCATCGCGCGCGAGGGATTAAGCTCTCTCGGTGTGGAGCTCAATTTTCCGTATCTCGAGCATGCAAAATTGAAGCCGGCGAAATTATAGCTGTATCGCAAGCCGCCTGTCTCTCGCCAGTTGCGAAAAGAGGTAGAAAGCGGGGAGACGCTGAGCGAAGCCGGGAGGAAAAGCATTGCTCGCGCAAAAGGCAGTGCCGGCCGGAGAGCCGCGCTCTCGACGTAATAATGATCTCCGTCCGGAGAGCTCTCTCGAAACGCCGCGAGTGCGGAGGCCTCGCGGGCCGTTGTAAGAGAGCCGTTACGTATGTTTATTCACGAGCACGAGAGGCGACGGACTCGCCGGCTGGAGACGTTTTAAGGGGCGCTGCGATTAATTCGAGATTACCGCCCGGCCGGCGTAATTCCACGAGATTCCGCAAAGCTGCATCTCCTGCCGCTTCATCTATCCTTTCTCTCTCTCTCTCTCTCGTTCCTGGGAAAGAGAAAATATTATTTTCACCACCTCCTCTCTTCCCCCTGCAAGTTCTCGCATTGCTGCGCTTTGAAATTATTATTCGCGGACGTTAATCTCGAGATAGTGGAACGACGACGTGAAAAATTACGTAATCGCTTTGTTTGCGAAATGTACACACCGAAAGAGAGATTATAGTTACTTTAGGCCTCACAATTATACCCTTTCTGTGGTTTGAATCCCGAAGATAGTAGCAGCAATATACGCGTAAGGTTATTGTCGCTGATACTGTAGCAATACTTACTAGAAATATGATTCTCCTGACAATAATGATTTCATTATGATGATTATAGTTACGAATACCAAATATTTTCCTTTCAGTGCGCGATTTCTGCATTTCGGATCGTTGATTCGAGTAATTTTCGCTAAGGAAATATGTTGTATCGGACACTTTTATTTTCGCGTATTTATCACGTTTCCTCATCATGTTTTTGGCGATCGTGCATTAATTAGTTACGTCGATTCTCGAAACGTGACCCACAATGGGTCGACGGCCGGGAACTGGGAATTCTTATGCTGCAGTTCTATGCAAATTTATGAATAACTCGTAAAATTGTAACTTATTGAGTATTCGTAAGAATCTGACTTCCAGTTTTACGTATACTGCGATTTTGTACCACGGTAATGGAAAATTATAGTTATTTTCGGCACCAAACATACATTTTAACCATTCTATCATTTGAAAGTTGTGCGTAAAGATCATCGACTTATTTGTAGGTTTAGGTGTTTCGATTATTTTAAACATGAAATATATATATATATATACACATATATATATGTACAAACTATATTAAGTTTTATGTCTAATTTTAAGATTTTTTATTTATATTTTTTTACAATTATTAAGAGATTTTTCCTGACATTTATATGACTTAAAGATAGCTTCTTGTTGGCTGTAAGATTTACAAGAGATCGTAGATGTTCACGAACGACCACACGTCTTACGATACGCGCATAGAATTACAGTTGCAGTCATAAATTTTTATGAGAAGTAGTACCGGTCCTACGAGAATATGTTGCGAGTCTTACGATTTTGTTTAGTATTCCGGCATTAATTTCAGATAGGAAATCCATCCCGGACGGACTTCCCCCACGCGCCACCATTGATAAATTCTTTGCCGGTTAATCGATGAATTTTACAACGACGTTCCACAAACGAATCCGGCCGTGACGATCTGGAAACCGGATTCGTCGATTTAGTACGCGGCGACTTGCACGATACCCCATAACGACTCGAGATACAGCGAGATTATCCGCTCGTTGTTTCTTTTTCCGCTTTTTTTTTCTTACCCTTTTTGTGTCTCCTCGCGTCACCCGATATCTTCTTCCGTGCGCGCTCGCGCGAGAATCCCGCGAGTCTCTCGAGTTTCCCTCCCGTGCCGCGGCTCATCAACGGACGGGTGATTGTCGCGGACGGTTTCATGGCACCCGACCGTCGTAATGCGGTGTCATAGCGCGTTTCTCGCGCACTCACCGCGAGAACAGAAGCGGTACCGCTCAATTGAGTCGCGGTCCAATTAAAATCACGACTGCGATATCAATCGTGGCGAAAAAAGTTCGACGCGACGCGACTCGTTTCCCGTGCAATTTTGCGGACTCTCTTGTGGACGCATTCGTGATCGCGGACGAATAACGGCGTGAAAAAATTCATCCTATCCTGCCCCAGTTGTAAGTTGACTTGATTCAATGATTTCCTTTCTCAATATCATTGAAGTTTGCGAATAGCGCGGAAAAAAGAATACAGACGAGGGAGAATGTGAAATTATTTATTGATTTATTCGTTGAATTAACGAGAATAAGATCTTTTGGTGTGCAGGATGAAGGACGAAGGAATTATATACAAGATTAATTCTAATATATATTGAGAGAAGAAATATCTCAAAAAATCGAGAAAAGATATTCGGTGGGTGCTAATAACATATTTACTTAAGTCTAAATTTTTTTATTTAAATATAATAAACAATTTCCTCCATGAAGAACAATGGATTTAAGAAAATATATGTTTCCTCGCTTTATATATAATTGTTAATAATTAAGTATCGTCCGATGATATTCGATATAAAGTATATCAGACAAACGAACTACTCCAGATTATTCCCGACTGCGTGATTCTCTTCCTTGTGAAACAGCAATGGCGTTTACGTTTCCAGGTAACGATCCCGAGTACATCGCCAGCCAGGTCAGCGATTACCACATCGACGAGCCAATAAGCGATTCTCCGCCGTGGCAGCAGTAATCCGGAGATAGTTCGTGAGCCAGTTATCAGCGATTACAATCGATTCATAGTGCCCAACGAAGACAACGATTACATTCCTACGTGACCACATCTTGCGATACCGATCCCTGCGAGTTCGAAGGACTCGTCGAAGGCGACTCGATTGAATCTTGACCCGTGTATTCACACATTAGCGTCGCACATGAGCAAGAAAAAAATCCGCCAACTCGCGACGTGAGCAAAATTCCTTCTCGAACCAAAGAAAAAACAACGTACACTCCGTGCTTGTGCAATATTATTATTATCGCCGAGGACGCTCTCGTTTCGATGAAGGCGACAACGTGAGAGCCGCGCCGCGATATCGAGTTAATTGAACGGAAGGTGAAAAATGCACCGGCGTGAGGCCGTGCTCGAGGTTGCGACAACGAGCGAAAAATCCTGGGAAATTAGCAAACCGAGCGGAGGAGAACGCGATCGCAGCCGCGACTGAGGTGCGTTACTACGTGTCCACCTTGAAGCGAAGTAAATAAGCTAGCTAGTGAGCGAGAGCGAGCGAGCAAACGAGGAGAGATTACCAGCGGAAAATTGTCTTCGCCGAGCGAAGATAATCAACGGTGCATAATCGCGCGGGTCCGCAATATTCTTCCCGTAAAGCAGCCAGCAATGCGCTGATCGTCCCGCTCGGCAACATGGAGGACGCGGTGATCGCGCTCGACTCCACGGTGAGGAGCCAGCACTCGAGCCACTCCAAGGAGTCGAAGGACTCGGAATTGAAGCCGGAGAGCTGCCTCGAGTCGAAGCACTCCAAGGATGTGCTCATCCCGGAGAAACAGCAGCGTCAGCAGCCGCATCATCATCATCAGCCGCGGCAACGCGTCCCGGACGACCGGCAGGATCACCGTCTGCCGGCCTCCGAGGCCAAGGACGACTCGAATCTGCTGATGTTCACGTCCTGCGGACAATTGCTGCTCGGTGAGTCGCATATGTGATTGTTTACGAACGAGGTAGTTTACACGCCGATGTCGCGCGCAGTGTGTATCGGATTCGGTATCGGTTTTCGTCGGGGTCAAACGACGCGCGGTAATTGAGACCCCCGTGGTAAATGGGACATTGTCGGCGAGCGCGGGAGAGACCGAGGATCATAAGTGGGCTGTTCACTAGGCGATTTGAAGCGGATAGCCCACTTTACGAGCCCCGGCTGCGGGCTGCGCCGATAGCGCACCGGCAGTTATCGCGTATTTAACGATTGAGTGCTCTCGTCGCGACTCTTAATCATTGATACCCCTACGCTTATTCATTGGATTATTATTATTTCTTGTATAATTATTTCTCTCTGCGGATCTAGATTTGTCGATGGTAAATTAATTAACAGTAAAGTCGACATTTAAATGAGAGAAGGAGAGGGAGAGAGAGCAAAAAATCGAATGCCTGTGTAGAATAAAAATCTAAATAATTTATCACTAATGAATTAAAAACACTAAATAAAGTTATAACAGTGATTCGTTGCTCATTTCTCTTAATTATTTCTCCCTATTGATTATTATTTCTTAATCAATTATTTCTCCCTACCGATCAATGATAAGTTAATGAATATTAGAATCCAATTAAATCCAATTAAATTCTCCAAGTGAAAGAGCAAGAAGTCTAGCAGGACAAAAATTTAAGTAAATTACCGCTGATAAATTAAAAAAAATGGAATAAAATTATAACAGTAATTTCGCACATATGATTAGAATTATAGTTTTAACTTTGATGCTTCTATCGGAATTATCGCATGATTGTATCGATTGAAGATCGTTACGTCGCCTAATTTACTCAACACTTTCTGTTACTCTACTTAATTTTACTATTTTCTAATACATAGACTAGAATATATTAGAATATATTAGAATATAATTCGTCCATCGTATTCCAGGCGTTTCTAACGAAGCGCAATTTGTCTCGAAAGCGGACCTCTCGCTGTTAATTAAGAAAGAGAGAGACAAGGAGATACACATACACACACACATATATATATATATATATTTATATATATATATGTGTGTAGAAGGAGAGGGAGAAAGAGAGAGAGGGGGAAAAATTAATTAAGAGAATTCCCGCAACGGAATTAACGGTGATTAAGCGGCGATACGTTTTAGGCGGCGGGGCACGCTCTCGTGCGTGCGTTTCAGCGAGAAATCACAAGCGCCGAATGCACATAAATCAGAAACCGACGTAAGAGTGAAAACATTTCACTTAGAAAGTCGTACACATGCAACTCATTTTGCGCGTGACCGTAAAGCACCGTGTTTTTGCGTCACTGCAATTTATTCCGCCGCGATTTGAGATCTCACGAAAGATCGTACGGTCATTGTCTCGGACGATCTTCGTTGATGCTTTCACACCTGGCGTCGCCCGATAAGTACCGGAGAAGTGCATCGGAAGAAGGCGCACGGTGAATCGCGCGCGCGCGCGCATCGAAGAATGCGCATGGAAGTTGCTCGTTACAATTAAGAGAATCCTCGCGGCCAAAGAAGCGAAAACAAGGAATTCACAATTCGCTTCAAGCACGAATATCTTCGGACTCGACGGCCGTAATCCCGTTCTTATTTCGCGTTTTACATGTACACTGCTGAGAAAAAAGTGCCACGTTCAAGTAAATATCGGAGTAATTACGTTTGTTTTCTATTCCTGAACTGGCTGCTCTATTTCGAGAAAGTTGCGTTCCGATTTTCACTGCAGCTACTGAAAATCTACAGTATTCGTAACATGGACTGTAGGTTTTCAGCAATGAACATCAGGACGCAGCCCTCCTGAACTGGCTGCGCCAGTTCAGGAATAGAAAACATACTTATTATTTTATTCGGATCAAGTAAATATTATTTGACGTAGTACTTTTTCCTTTCGGTGTGCTACATTCAATATTTACGTAACCTCCGTTCGCAATGTAATACTTTTTTTCAACGTACATATATTTCGTTCTTTCAGGTGTCGTCCTGGTGGTTTTCGGCGTCCTGGTGCTCGTGCACGGCGCCTCCTTGGGCGGCTCCGGCGCAGGACTCTGGGCGGGTGCGGGCGCTCTGGTCGCCGGCGCGCTCGGAGTGGTCGCGACGTTGGCGACGTCCTCCACCAAGACGAATTCCGCCTTTTCGTCCGCTCACCTCGCGTCCAGTCTGATCGCCCTCGCCCTCTCGAACATGGCCGCGATCACGGCCTTGACGGCGGTGGTCAGGGACTCGCAGAGGACGCCGGAAGTCTCGCTCCTCAGCCTTTCGGTACGTTCTCGGCTTATTTTCGTCGCAAGGTCAATGATTATTTCAAGGACCTTGGGTCCCCAATCACAAAAAGACATTCGAGAGCCAACGCAGATTCTTGTACGTCGATCCGGTCGCGATACCGGATTCATTTTTACCACGAAGTGATCTGAAATGTTCGCGTGACGTTGAAAGCAAGTCGGCAAAGAATACAACTCCAAGCCGGAAGCGGAATCTACACGGAGAGAGAATATTATAGCTTGATCTCTCGCGCAAATTCTCTTCGATGTTACCATCATTTCCAGTCATGTAAGAGTAGACAAAGTCAACAGAGTTTATTTTGCTGAGGAACGTAGTTATATCTTCCCACGAAATTAAAAATATTATGTCACTTCAACAGCCGTAATTAAGCTCTTAACCTTGGAGTAGTCACGTAACTTGAGTTACAACACGAGTAATAGCGTGTTAAAAGATAATATGTAAACAAAATAAATATATTAATTTAACATATTTCTATACTTCCTAATATATTCCCCGCGTTAAAGCGAGATAAAAATTAAGGTAGACATTTTTGATACATACCAAATTTTTTCTCGTGTACAATTCAGTGCTTAGCCTTTAAAGGCTAAAGGATTACAACATCCATTGTGGATCCAGATCCTAAATAGCTCGTATGAAACGGAAGGATGATGAATTAAAGATGAATTATAGCGGAACGTCGATGTGTTCCTCGGTTATGAAACTCCACAGTAATTCTTACCGCACAACATTATCCCCGTTGATTAACGACGTCGAGGAATCGAGGGAGCACCGGAGATGGGAGATTTCAACGGAGTCGGTGCGCGGAGTTCGCGAAAATCCAGGACGAGTCCGGACGACGCGACGACTTCCTCCGTGGCGTGCGGACCAGCGGCGCGAATCCGATAAAGATCGAGAGTGCATCTTCCCATCTTCTAATTAACTCTGCGCGGATCTCTCGCGCGCGCGGACCGCTTGATCGCTAATTAACGCGAGAAGCCGCGAGTGACCCCGATTCGCCGTGTGTCGGCCGGTTTTGGCGCGGCTCACGCCCGATGGAACCGTTTGACCGTCAGAGAAAGTTCCCAATGCCAAGGCTAAAACGCGGTCAGGCCACTGCATGAAATTCCACGGATCATGAGCGCGGAACGTATAGGAAGTTACTTAGCGGCTAACGCGAGAACTGGCCACGACGCAGCTCTTGCGGCTCTCGCATTGGCCAGCTACCTGCCGCGGTACCGAAGCGTGCTTCCTCCCTATTCCTCGCGAAATTGCGGTCTGCCCTGTCTCGTCTCGCGTCGAGGAGACGATCGAGATAACGCGTTCACCGCGACTCACGCTCGAGGAAGGAATTAGCCACAGGAGCCAAAAGAGGGACAGCCAATGTCGTTACTACCGCAGCTAAATTGACTACCTATTCGAGCCAAGGAGAGCGACGAATTACAACGAGCGATATAATTGTATCTTACAGCGAATGTGTTGATCTCTCTAATGGCCAATGGCGTAGTCACCGCAGTTAAATTTGTCACAATCGGCACGCATCGGCTGTCCTTACTTTAGCTGCAATAACCACACGGAGGAAATATTGTGGTGAGAAGTGCCGTAAAATGTTGTAATGCCGGGCCATGTCGGGATTAAAGCTGGAATTATGATGTATTTCATGTGTGCACACCAGTGAAGATTACAACACGCACGATAGTTTCAGTCATAATTCCGGCGTGGTCCAGCATTAGAAAACTTTGTGGTAACTGTTATTGCAACATTTTTGTTTCTCCGTGCTGGATTTTAGCTCCTTAGGTTGATCCTTTCGCAGAGCTCACTTCTTCGCGTTGAAAAATCTATGATGAATATCTCGAGACGACAGACTGACGTTGTCGCGCATTTCCAGGGCGAAGACGGTAACGTGGTGGAGGTGGACGGCGGCTTGGCGGGTCTGCTGGCGAGCATCGGTCTGCTGGTGGCCAGCGTGGCCGAGCTGCTGGTTTCCGGCTACAGCTGCCTGACCTTGACCCCGAAGCTCTGCGGCTGCCTGCGAGCCAATGCCGCGGACGAGGGGGCGAGCGAGGGCCACCTGAAGACTCGCAACATGGTCCACCAGTGGGTCATCGCGCAGAACCACGTGTCGAAGAGCCAGCCGATCTACGTGGTGCAGCCGGTGGTGCCGATGCATCCGATGATCCAGGTGAGCGCGCGACTCTCCTCTCCCACGACCTCCAACAGCCGCGACCTCTCGAGCGACGGGCAGGCTGGGCGGCCAGGGAGAGGGAGAGACAAGGGATAGGTCAGTGACACGCGCTAGAAAGTTCAAGCCGATCGCCCGATCGCCGAGGAGAAACTCGTGAGCGAGCGCACCTCCGGTATGGAGTCTCGGATGCCGGGAAAATCGCGCCCGAAGACGCGATTGCCGCCGATCGACGGAGGGAACAACGATAAAATACCGTTGTTCACAAATTCAACGCGAATACAATCGAAATCAATGCTTCTGGCTGCTTGTGCTTCTGAATGCACATGATATCGACACTTGATTAAATGACATCACATCATTTTTCGCCAACATTCTTTCCATATGGACATGTATGATCGTATATGTAACCACATATATGTGGGTAAAATTCACATACGATTTTATATAGCTATATATAATCATATATAATCATGTATAATCATTTTTTCCCGGGTAACATCTTTTCAGTAGACTGTAGCCTGTAATAATAACGCAGGGAACAAAATGTATAGATACGTAGACATGCCGGCGAGATCTTTTAACGTTATTTATCTCGGTATTATCGTCTGGTAATTGGGAGGATCGTGCGAAAGGGTAATACAAAGAATATACGATTACAGCCGCCGTACGGGATGCCGCCAGCACCGCCCGGCAAGTTCCCCGGTGGATTCGTGTCCGCTGGACCTCTCCCGATCTCCGCACCGGCCTACGGTCCCGTTCCCGTGTTGCCCCACATGCCGTATGCCGGACGACCGCCGTCTCAAATGGTGAGCCGTCGACAGTACATGAAATAATAAACGGGCGGCGTAACGCTTCAACGAAGCGGACATAATAGCATCCTGTTAAATTGCCGGACAAAATCGCCCGGCTCGATAATAAAGAACGCGAAGCACACTCTCGAAACTCGATCGAGCGCACTGAGAAGACACCGCGCGCGATTCCGTCAGGCGGGTCTGTGAGCGAACGGGAAACTAACCGGGTGTCTCGTCTCGCAGTTCCGGCCGAAACCGAACAAGCGCCACCAAGTCGCGGATCAGGTCGAGGAACTGGAGAGAAAACGGCAAGCGGAGGCCAAGAGCGAGTCCCCGAAGAGGATGTCGTCGATCGGCGAGGATCAGGTCGACCTGGCGCAGACCTACACGGGCTTGGACAAGAGGATCTCCGAGGAGTTCATTTCGATCGCGATGGACCCCGACAGGAAGTCGAAGGCTTCCAGCAATCACGGCAGCGAGATCGGGACTACGAAAACTTTCTGAAAACGAGTCCCGATCAATGAAGTTGCGGAGCTTCGTAGGGTGCAAGTGTGAAGGTATACTCGCGACTTGCAAAGTCGATTCCGCGTGGGCAGGGCTTGATTCGTGCGAATCGCGAACCTGCCGTCACTCTCGCACCGAGTCCTTCGATTTCGAGCGGTATCAGGACGATACTTATCGCGACTCGTCTCGTTAAAATCGCTCGATGAAGCATCCGAGGAAGAAAGCGCGGCTTCGGAGAGCGACGGTACGACCGAAGATCTTATTTCCGCGAACCGTTCCCTCCACATTTTCAAAATGCGAAGACACCACGCACGGAAATGAACTCTTCGATCACGTCGCTGATAAATTGGCCGGTCTATAAAGGAAATAAAGTGTAGCGTTTATCTATTGTCGCGGATCTCCCCGTCGCGAATGCGCGAAGAATGTTGACATTCGCGACGCAGGTGCGTGACAAAGTTTTACCCCGGTGTTAAATGTCATTGGGTGCACGGAGAAGGATCGCAATCGATGACTCATGCGCCAACGAAATGCCAAGGCGTGTGCTATTATTGTTGTCAGTGTGGTGGGACGGATAATCCTGTTATCTCATTATTAAGCGTCAACCGCGCCGAGCGCCTCCAATTCATTCTTTCCCTCTCTCTCTCTCTCTTTGTCGCGTAATTGAACAAAGTTGAGCAGCACTAAGACTCAATTAAGATCGCGTAATAACTTGCATAACGTAAAAAATAAGGGAACCGGCGAGCGTGAAGATTCTCACGATAATATATATAATTATAACGGAGTAACTGTACGTTTTTTTTTTCTTCAGAATACCGTCTTGTCTGTCGGACGAGACGAGGTCTGAAGTTACCTGACGACTACCTGAAGCGCGCGCTCAACCTTCTTCTTCCATCGCGCTCGAACCTTTCCACACGCATCAGGATGCGCTGTTATCATTCTTCGAAAATAATATTTGCGCGTGCGCTTCGTGAGGTGCACTCAGTCTCGGCGATGGTAGACGAAGGTTGAGCTGCACTATATTACTCTAATTCACTAAGTATAAATAGAGGTAATATTGTCAAATTATGTAATTACAGGATACGAATAATAATGTTCTAATCGCCGGTTCACGCTTCTTACTTCATTTTCGATAGGGTGATTAACGTTATTTACTTAAGCTGGTTATCACATTGTACAGTCACAGTTTTCCTTACACGCCTTCCCAAGTGTTAGTTTAAACATGATTTGTATATACTTATATACGTTTATAATTTATAATATATTTTGTTACGTAATATACTACGAAATAAAATTACAATACGAACGTTAAACCCAGGTTCAGGGAGTAACGCGTTACTTTTTTCAATGTGCAGTGAGTAACGGTAATGAGTCACTTTTTACAGGTAATTTTAACCATTTTGGTCGAATCCTTCAATGATACATTTTTAACGACAACTAAAACAATTAGTTTTTCAATTAAGTTTTTTCAATTTTTGGTCAACTTCTTAAGGCTTAGAGCTTAAAACATCTATCGTAGACCAGGACTTACAGTGCTGTAAGCATGAATCAGACCGCAGCCTAAATGTCGGTCCGCAATAGGTATTTTAAGCCTTAAAGCTTTAAAAAATTGACCAATCACAGTTAATTATTCTCTTCATATCCGATTGTGATTGGTCCAATTTCTTAAGGCTTAAAATACCAATTGTGGACCAACATTAAGACCACCATCTTAAGTTTATCTTCAGATATTTCGTAGCCAATGAAGTGAGCGCGACACAACATCTGAAGATAAACTTAAGACTGTCACATATAAGATCCGATGGCTGCGGTCTGATTAAACGCTTACAACGCTGAAAGCATCATTCTATCTTTCTTTGGCATTTAGTGAACAATAAATATAGAACGACGCTTGTGAATACCGGGCTTGGATGCATACAAAATGCTTTGAAAACTCACAGAGCAGATGCGAGAAAAGTGACGTAACGACCGGTCGATAACGCAGTATGTGCTTTCTGCTGTGGGCAATACATAACCTACAAATTGCTATTTCTTATATTTATACCCCGTGTATTTAATATTATTCTCCAATGAATGAGCGGCCAACGTAGGATTAAGCGCATAGCTGTCACCATATTTAACATTATCGTTCACATTAGGTGTCACTGTGAATCATCATCTGCTTGCGGATAATTGAGCTTGTACAGATTTCATGGTGTAAGTGTATATATTTATATTTCATTGGTGTAAGTGAGGAACTTGACTGTACCTGCATGTGTATGGAACACATCATAATGTAACAATAAAATTCGTATGCTTTTAGGAGAGGTAGAATAACGTATTCGGACGCTCAGGATATAAATCGTGTGATACATTACATACGTTTCAGTACTTTTAATACCGCATCAGGATCATATCGAGATCATTTTATATCATCGTAGTATTAAAACGCTGGTATAGAAATGACGGTAGTATTAGGAGGCGGTATATCAGGCCTGTCGGCGGCGTATTACGCCGCTAACGAAGCGAGACTAGCATCTGTTACTTTGCTCGAGGCGTCTGATCGCGTAGGCGGATGGATACGCAGTAGGAGATCGCCGAGCGGGGCGATCTTTGAGCAAGGGCCGAGGACGGTCAGACCTCACGGACCGGCCGGGATGAACACACTTGATATGATAGATGATCTCCAGCTGACCCACAAGTTGATTCGCATCAATGCAAGTCACCCCATAGCTCAGAACAGATTAATATACTCGGAGCAGGCGCTGCACATGTTGCCTATGTCCTTGAAGGGTCTCTTTAAGACGATTTCACTGTTGGACCGTCCCCTGGTGAACTGCCTGTGGACCGACCTGAAGGCACCGAAGGTGTCCAAGGAGGACGAGAGCATCTATAGCTTCGTGCAGAGAAGACTCGGCCGGGATATCGCAGATCGCCTCATCAGCCCGATCATCTGTGGCGTTTGCGCGGGTGACGCGCGTCAGATAAGCGTCAACTTCATGATGAAGTCACTGTTCGAGGCGGAACAGAAGCACGGGTCTATAGTAAAGGGCTTCCTGGCGAAGAAGTTGAAGAAAGTGTTCTCCAGGTCGAAGAGTAAGGAGACGAAGGAGGCTAGGGCTATAAATGATGCCACCATGGGACGAGTAGTTCAGCTGGAGAAGTTGGCGATCTGGAGTCTGGAAGGAGGACTCGAGCAACTGCCCTTGGCATTGGCCGACAACCTCGAGAAGCGTGGGGTGACGATGGAAACAGGCACGAAGTGTGAACGGCTGACGTTCAAGGCGGATCGCGTTGAGCTGTCGGCTAGTGGCGACGTACGGGAGTACTCGCGCGTCATCTCGAGCTTGCCCGCTAAGAGTCTGGCCGAACTGCTGCAGGAACAGCATCCGGAGCTGTCGGCGGAGCTCAGGGCGATACCGTCGGTGACGGTGGCGGTGGTCAATCTCGAGTACCCCGGGGATGTGCTGCCTCTGCAAGCGTTCGGCTTCCTGATACCCCCTGAGGAGAATCTACCTCTGCTGGGCGTGATCTTCGACTCCTGCATGGTCCCCAAGGAGTCCGCCACCTCCACGGTGTGTACGCTTTTCTTCCCTCGTTCTAGGCTTGATTTCGTACATGTGGCAATCCATAAAGCACGACATTCTTCTGTCTTTTTCATTTGTCATACGTACACAACAGGTGTTAACAATCATGATGGGCGGCGCGTGGTTCGAGAAACACTTCGGGCCGAATCCGACGGAGGAACGGCTGTTAAAGACGGCGGTCGACGGAGTGAAGGATATCTTATACATCACGGAGGAACCCGTAGCGCACCACGTAGCCGTCCTGAGGGACTGTATTCCGCAGCACGTGGTGGGTCACGTTCAACGTGTGAAACGTATCCACGATTACATTTCCACGCACAACATCCCCCTGGCACTGTGTGGCTCCTCATACGAAGGGGTGGGAATCAATGACGTCATTCTGTCAGCAAAACAGGCCGTTCGTGATGTCAAGTAGGTAGAAAATGTCGAAGCTCTTGAGGCTTATTCGAAATGATACTACCATTATATACAGTAGCTATTGTACGGACAGACAGTAAAAACTACATGCACAGTCCACATGCTGACTCGTGACACGACCATACCATGCAGAAAAATATTGTATAAGTATGCAAACGCGTGTAACAACGATGTACAACGGAATTGATGGAGCGAATAAATATTCTTCAGATGAGGATTACTGTGATTGCTTGTGTCTGTAGTTTAAACGGTGGTGATGGTAAATGAATCATTTCATTTGCGCGAACGACACACGAAAAGTAACGTACAAAAATTGAGCGACGAAACGGTGTTTTGTTATGCAGTTTTGTATTTGTATTACAGGTACACAGAGTATATAGTTCGCTGTAGGGCGAATACAAAAGATATTGTCTCATTAAAAGTATCGATATATAGAGAGATGTGTGAAGTATGATACAAAATTGCTCTATCAGCTAATCACAGAAATTTGTCGCTTCCTTTTCATCGTAACAAAGAGATCAGAGACTTAGTCTCAAGTTTCATGATCATCTTTATCAAACAATACATTTGAAAACAATAAACAATATATTTGAAAAAAAAATTATATATATATATGTGTATAATAATATATTATATTCACTTATTTACGTTTCTCTTTTGGAAGCAAATTCTCTTTTTTCTCTCTTTCTCTCGCTCTATGCTTCCTCTTTGCTAGAAACTAAGTGAAAAAACTCGCTTTAAAAGAAGCGCTGTAGCTTCACGGCGAACACAATAGTTCTTGTTTTGCAAGCAGCTGTACACGATTGTAAAGTGAAGCAACATTTGCGCAGCAAGTGCAGCAGCACAAACGTAGTCGAAAACAACTCTTTCATATCTAGTCAAGACACGTGCAGATCGATTGATTACAATAAGCATAATGCATAAAAATTACTCTTGCGAGCTGTTTCTAATACAAAAGGAATGTTTCGTAGTAATAATAAATAAAAGATAACCAAAAGACGGCAAACGCGCAGGAACTCAAGAGATTTCAAATCAGATAGATTATCATAGATAAATTAATATAAACTCAAGAACTCATTTTGCGTTCGGAATAACCATAACATAACAATGCAATTCTACGTCTATTCTTTGACAGTACCTGCATATTTAACCTCGTCGAAAGCTTTTCTTGCTTTCTTGAGTTCCTCGTTCATTGTCAACAGGTCTTTTACTCTGGCGTATTTTCTGGGATCCTTTCTTACTGAAAACACACACAAGTCGTAAGGTTACAAACTTGTTAACAGCTATAAATAATTTATATATATACATATATATGTATATATATTTTTCCCATAACACATTAAACATCTTATTACCTCAAAATGTCTACGACGTTTTTATATTCTCTGGGGTAAATGTATGTCATAGTGGTTCTTAACCTTTTCTTTGCCATAGACCTCTTTTAAATATCAATTATTATAGCAGGGACTAGCAAGACTTGATTCAAGATTTAAAACTCTAAAGTGTATCAAGTATTTAGTTAAAATTACTCATTAACTTGCATGTTCTCACCATGTGCAGAAGTATCAAATACTGAGTACATTTTTTACTATTAGCTATTTTCACAACTGATTTTTATTTTTGTTTGTTTTTAATATAGGCGGTAGGTTAGAAATCATTTGGATATCTATCTTAAAAATTTATAGATGTGCCTCATGTTACCTAAAAATACTATATCCTCAACCTGAACTCGCCCTGTACGTCCAATCTCCATAGCTCTGTGTGTCATCTCGGTTATGTATTCAATAACCAAATCTTCCAGCAAGTCAACGCTTTCTGTGTAAGGATTCTGGTCATCGCCAAAACCATACATCATGCAGCGTAATTCTTTGGAGAAGAGACGCTTCCTTCCACCGGGGAGAGTGCCACCAAGGGGAAGCTCCGCTTCTTCGTCTTCGAACTGGCAAAATATTTGATGAAAATCAATGAACAGAGCACAATGTTTGCTATGAAACGATGCTTAATCCATGATAATTACAAGATTCACATTTGACTAAATATTGTGAATACGTAATACATAACGTGAAAATACGACGCATCGTTATTATTTTTGTTCTGAATAAGACAAAAATGGTAACAAATCTAACCTGTTCAAAAGCTTCTTCAGTAGCCATCGTTTTAAAGGTTATGTTTAGGGTTCGCGAAAAGCCACACCATACGAGATTACCGCTACGAGTGTCGCATGTCGCCGAACACGTGAGTGGCCGATCGCCGTGCACTAAACACCGGCTCTCTCACGAACGTCCGTGCTGGTCTGTCTCGCGCGCGCTAAAAGTCTCACTCTTAAGTCGCCGCCGTGGTGTCGAACCGTGGTCGATTCGCTGACGAGTGCGACAGGCCATTGGTTTCTACATACAGGACGTGGTGGCCAATCAATGTGCCGTTTCTTCATGGAAATTAAATGTTTATTCTGAATTCTGCGTTCTGCGTGCAGGAGCCAATATATTTCTCGGACTTTTTTTTAGCGAAACACGTATAAAATCTTAAAGCTTAACGTAAAGTATCAGTCTTCTTTTGTTCTACTGGTTAAGTGGGAAAAACAAGCAGCTCTCGCAACGCCGATTTTCTCGCCCTCTGGTCCCAGTCCTAGGCATTAATAGCTGACCAATCTGTGAGCTCGAAGCGGCTATATTTTGTAGAAGACAGTAGCTGCTCGTAGCGGAGCATCGCAACTAAGAAAAATAAGGGGTTAATTAACAGGTTCAAAGTATTAAAAGAATATTCAACCAGAGATAAAATCAACTCGTGATTCAGCAGTTTTTCAACGATGTCGGCCAAACAAAATAATCGGTCGACTTCAATTAACGACAGTGTAAATTATTTGTCGTTAGTTGAAAATTTGACAAGCTATGACAAAACATAATTTCAGTAGATATTAATGTTTTTAAGTACAAATTTGAATTTTTTCAATGTAATATAATCTTGATTAAAATGAATATTCCATTGTAAATTAATATATCTATTTCTTTTTTTTACGTATCTTTTGTTCTTTATTGTTTGCCCCTTTAATTTGGTCATATTCTTTATTCCTATTTACATTAACATTATAATATATATAAATTATATTATTACTGTGTAATCATACACTGTCAAACACCAAGTACATCATGCACATCTTAACTTTTATTTATTAGTATTGTTAAAATATAATATTATAACTTGAAATGTATTAACTTTCTAAAATAATACCACACAATGGTTACTTTGTTCTTATTCTAAAATTCAAATATATACAACTATTTTTTCGATAGTAGATGAGCCAGCATTTCGTTATCCTTCGGGACGGTCCATTGTATCTCTCCGCCTAGGATAAAAAGAAAAATTATTTATCCACATATTATATTCTTTAATTTTGATACGCGCAATACAAATATGCAATTTTATTAAATTCACGTGTCATAACTCACAATCGACGGCATAATCCTCTTTGCCCGTTAAATTCAGCGCCGAGTTCAGTTCCGCTAATCCATTGTAATCTTCAACGAAGTAGAGATTCTGTTCTTCCTTCAGGGATGTGGAAAATAGATGCTCGATGACGTTATAGTCCTCCGCGTGCTTTTCGCCCTGATTAATGACAATCGCGAACGCTTCGTGGCTATCGTTTCGCAGCTTCTGCAAGTTCTCCACGGCGGCTTGCAGATTCTCTTGGTCATTTTCCTCGGCGATGTGTTCTCCGTCCGTCACAAAAACTGTTTCAGCGAAATACATATATGTAATGTGACGTAATATAACAATATAACATATATATTAATAGGAAGAACTTCTTCTCTGTTATTTTATAATTATAATTATTTTCTATTCGAATAAAAGTAATAAAATAAAGAAAATAATAAAATAAATAAAATACAATGAAAGAAACAAATATATAAAAAATATATAAAAAATATATAAAAATTAATTTCTAATTCTCCTCATTTTCAAATTTTTTTTTTCATTAGAAATAATATATATGGATTTCTATCATTTTTCATGGAAAAAATACTCCTCTTTGTGATTCGAAATTGCAAGGGTACGAGGGTGCGCATATTCCGCCATAGGATAAGTTTGTTGCGTTAACAATTCAGTAAGATATTAGTGACAACTTACCTACGATAACTCGTTGCATGCCCGAAGTGCGAACGATGTTTGCCGACATGAGAACCGCGTTGATCAAGTCCGTAGTTTTTCCGGCGACGCTTTCGAGATCCTCGCTGATGCGAGTCGCGCGATTCGCGAGCATGTCCTTGGATAACGTCGACAGAACATTGCAGGTGTCCGTCTGGTTCAAGCTGAGAGCAACTATTGTGTTTTCTGAGAAAGTGACCAAGCCCATTGGATGATCGCGCGACAACCTATAGGACGATGCAATTAGTCAGGAAAAAGTGCTAGATTCAAGTAAGTTATTACTCCAATATTCCTTAGCAAATTTTTATTTTGGTCAAATAAGATTTACTTGATTCAAATAAAATATTTTCTATGCAAATTATCCAAATAAAATATATATTTACTTGATTTTAGTAAAATTCGGTTAAGGAGTATTGGAATAATTATTTACTTGAATCCAGCACTTTCTTTTCCTGCGTATAAATTTATTAATATAAAAAGATAAATTACAACCAATCCCCCGTCTGTGTAAAGGAGATCGGTCGTTGAATTTTACAACAATAGATCTCTATTGGTTAATAATAATTCATAAGTTTTTAACGGGAATCTCGTACGATGCTTACGGGAAGTATCGGCGAATAACAATAGCCGCCAGCTTCATTTCCTCGGCGAACCATGCGTTCAGGACGCTCAGGCTGTCGTCCATCACGAACAGGAGACCGGATCGCTCGTCCTTCGCTAATTTACGTATTCTTTCCGCTAAATTCTCCGCTAAAGCTTGCTCCTGGATATCTACAGTAAAAATACACGACACATTTTCAATTGACTATTTTTCTCCGTGCGAGTATCCGCGCACGAATCGCCGTGCGTAGATTTTGTTTCGATACACGAGTCGCTTATTACAAGTCCCGATCAATTTTACCGATACTTTCTTCAACCTCGGCCTCTTTTGTCGTCATCTCGTTGTTTATCGTCGTGGATGCTGACTGCGTGCTCCCGCGCGCGGGTAAATTGCAGAGGACGTATTGGCTGGTCGTGTTGCAGGGCAGGCCGTAAAACAAAGCCGTGTCGTGACCTTCGCGATCCAAATTCAGACAGATCTCGCGATCGGCATAAGGCCAGGAACCGTCGTCCTCGTCGAAGCACCAGGAAGTGCCGCTGCTGATCGTGTTCTTCGACAGGACCTCGCCGTTCTCGTCCACCCATTTCCAACCGTCCTCCGACATAACCGTGTGGCCGCCCACCCAGGTATGATCTAACGCTAATTTCATTTGGAAAATGCGTGATTGAATAGACTTAACGTCTCGTGTCTGCGAAATGATATTTGAAAGATGAATCAACATAAAACTTTATTTAACATTCTGGACGAATGATTATAAAGTAAAAGATCATTACATCGTACGTTACAATACGTTTCAACCACGCAGGTGGAAAACGCATACCTAGTTCCGTCATTTTCTCCAATACGGCGGTTAAAGTCTTTGCGTCCGGTATACTGGCTACATGGCCGGACTTCTTCCGGCAATAAGCCTCCCCTTGCTTCCACGTCATCCTGGCTGAGGAGAATATCAATCTCTTATCGTCCAACGACACGCTTCTCCCCGCGTTCTCCATCATCCTGCGCTCCGGAATCGCTGAATTCACGAGAGAAACGCTTTAGAATCTCGCTACCAAGAACGTTTCTCCGTAATCGCTCGAATTGAAAGTCTCGAACGGGCAACTCGCTCGGGAGCGCGTCGCGACAAATTGAGATTTACCGTCCTGACAAATGAAAGGCCGTTTCTTTTCACAATCCAAATCGGAGAAGGCCGGGGTCGTGTGCTTCGCACAGAGATGCCTATCGAGGATCAGGCATCTTTCTCTCCGATACGAGTCATCGCTTTCCGACGGTGACACAGGATGACCGTCCGACCAGGGTGGATATGAGGTGACGTTCGACTTTTCCGACGGCAACGTGAATCCCAAAGAGGCCCACGTCCAATCGGCACCGTCCACGCTGTGGCCGTCCAGCCACATGCTTTCTATCGCTGTCGATCACGGAGAACGAGTTTATTCAAATTCCGTGAAAGTGTTACGTCACGTAGCCAAGGAGCTACTTCATATCGACGAAGAAGCCATAAATAATCCCGACTTTCTCGGTCCAATTTTACCTCCGTCGAGACGTGTGATTTCTATGAATTGAGAACTCCAATTGACACGACCGAAATGATCCGTCGACAAATTTAGACGATTAACGAGGGGGATTCCAATTCTAGAAATTACCGTCTTAATTTATGGCTCCCTGTCTCACGTTTCTCGCGACCTGAGCGATAAATCGCGAGAATAAATCGCGATTTATTGACGATTTCACTTCCCGGACAACGAAATATCCAAAATAAGACATCTTGTGTCCCAATTTTGAACATTTTGTACTGTCTAGATTGGAATTACAGTTATAGTGTACGAATTATTGATTGATTGACGTAATAATAATTAATTGACGTCTTATTATTATTATTATTATCATTATTATTACACGGTCTGCTCTTCAGCATTGTGTTCGCTACGACAGTGGCCGCCTCGTTCGTGAAGATCATGGCGAGTTGCTTCCTCCTCTTCTTACACTCCAATCTCGCGTTCCACCACGTGACGCCACCTCCGTCGACCTTCCGCGCTCCCTGCTCTCGGAGATCCTCCTCGTCCTCGAGGATTTGATACAAAGTATATCGTTGACCGTCCACGAAGACGCTGCTGCCCTCGACAATTATCTCCTTCTCCCTCTTTTTTCCTTTAAACGCGCAAAATATTTAATTCCCTTCGGAGTCTTATCAAAACACGCTAACGCCGATATTTACAGTCGCAACATATTTGCAATTTACGAGTTTTGGGAATTTAATTAATCACGCAGACTTTCGTATTCAGCAGCGTGAATTCGAGGGCGGATATTTCTCAAATGAAGTAAATACAGATCGAGATGAGCAATCAGAGAGATTCACGGAAATACGATTATTAATCAAATAATAATAAATAACGGATTCGATATCCGAGAGGAATCTTCCGGATTCTCCCATTCCTCAGGGACAATTTCTTCGACTACGATTATTGTCCGCAGAATCACGCTTCGGACAGTTTACCAAAATGACCGTCATAACTCTTCCTACCCGACGTTTTTATTCGTCGAAATAAATAACAAGCATGAGGGGCGCGCACGTGCTTGGAAAAGTTGGGCTTCATTAAGTCGAGAAAGGGGGAACGGAGCGGGCGGTATAAGCTCGCGATAGAGAGAGACAGAGAGAGTGTGTGTGCGTGACTCCCGATAGAAGCAGTGGATTACGCGTTACGTCGCGGAGAAATTATCGCGAATGAAGCGACGAACGCGGCAACAAATGTCGCGACGATTTACGAGCGAGATCGAATCGTGCGTTTCGCGAGTCGCCCACTTCCTTGTTCCCTCTTGTCATTAGCCTTCTTCTCACCGGCTCTCATGCAGACGAAAGGCTTCCGGCGCCGGCAGTCCTCCGGGACGAGAAGGGGCGAGTCGTGACCCGATTTGTCGAACACGAGACAATTCTTCTCGCCGCTCCCGTGATTATCCGCGATGTACCATGCCGGATGGCCCGCGGTCATCAACGAGTCCAATATCAACGCCTCCCCTTTTCTTCGCGCATCGATCCAGCTCCAGGAGCTAGCGAAGTCCTTTCTCCGTCCTCCTATCCAGAGACCGTCGTATCCTAAGCGGTCCGTCACGTATGAAATATATAATACGAAATAATCGGGAAGTTATTTTTAGCACGAAAATAGGTTGTTACGAATATCGATATGAATTTAATGATCAAAATATCTGGAAAGTTTATAGTTCCGAGGTAATATTAAAATTATAAGTCGGTAGAATTAAAGGTTCAAGAGAGAGAGAAGTTAAAAAAGAGTGTAGTATCAGAATACATTTTTATCTATAGGCCATCTAAGTAGGCGCAAATTATCCTTAAGAGCGTCAAAGTAATATTAAAATTTCTACTCGGGTGAAATGGTAAAATCAATACTTCTCCTGGGAACGTGAAGTCTCGGCTTACGTTCGGACGTTCGCGTGAGAAGCGCAGGAATAAAAGTTAAAATGGAACTTACGGTAGTTCGACTCGGACACCATCCGCGCGAGCCAATCCCTCGTGTCACCGTCGAGCACGGCCAACGTGCTTCCGGTATCCGTTTCCGCTTGGCGCGTTAGAGGATCCGGCGGGTCGTCGTGTCCCATTTCTTCGTCGGAAGTTGTAAGCGGATTTAGGTGGCCGTAAATGGTACAGATTGCCTGCGCCTCGTTCCAGGACACTCGTTTGCCGATCACGAGGAACTCCCATTGAACGTCTTCGTTTCCATTTTCCGTTTCATTACCGTTCCTCGGAATGTACGTGAAGTGATCCACGACTCGATTGCTCGAGGCTCCTATTGAAAACGTAGTTCGCGATTATCCCGCCTTTTTAGACGGCCGAGCTTCCCCGATATGGCGGCTTTCGAAAATCCTCTCGACGAGCGACCGTCCTGAGATCTCCCCGAAGAGCATCGTCGAACGCTCGATCGGAGATTATTTCGATTGGAGTAACATTGTTTCTTCAAACTTTCGGATCTTCACCGCCGAATGTACAATGCCAATCTTGCGAAATCGATATTACTGCGCACGGGGAAAAAAGATTGAAGGTTGAATTAACGTGACGAAACCGAATGCGCGTTTTCGTTGAAGGAAACGGAATTTCTGGTCCCGAGAGTTTAGTTCATAGAAACTAAAAATTCTGTTTCCTTCAATAAAGATGCATTTGGTTCATTCGTCGTTACGTTAATTCAACCGATATCTGTTTTCTCCAAGTGCATTAATCGAAAAGCTCGGTTCAAGTATTGTTCAATAATAAAGTTATCGCCGTCGTTGTCTATGATTCTTCGCCAACGTTCTGACAGCAGAACATTATCAAAATTATTGCTCGTATTGCATGAGTGTGACATCATCCGTTGGAAATCGAATCGAATTTTCAGAGTCTGGCTTGATATACGTGTAAAGTTACAGAAAAAAAAGAATCGAAGAACACACATCCCCATCAAGATTACGAAATTGATTGTCTTAGAAAACGCCGGAAAAATCTCTCTCTTTCTCTTTTTACGTGTATAAAACTCGCGAGAAAAATGGACAGCGCACACTTGTTGATCGTGTCGTATCGCCGGCTGTGAGTGCGGTCGCATTCGGAGGTAATTAAATATTGCACTCGGGAAAATGATCGAACGGTGAAATGTGGAATATCTGGCGACGCGAGAGAGAAAGTCGGAATATTAATTTATTTTTACAAGATGAGCTCCGATCGTACCTATTCGGAAAGCGACGGCAATCTCAAAGACCCAGACGATGGGAAGAGCGCTCGAGATCATTTCTTACGGATAAATGTCAGTGTCGGAAGGGACGAGCGTGCCGAGGAATCGGCCTCACGCAACGTATCAGACGAGGAATTAAGCTCTACTGAAAAACTCGGCCCTCGTCGAGTCGCGCGCCGACAAAGCGCGTCAAGTTAACGACGATCGCGCAATCGGTTAATGTTAATGCGCCTGATAATGGCAGATCGGCGCGTACTCACGAACGGGTTCTCCCGCTCGTGTCATGACGTGTTCCTATGACTCGATTACCGCCGAATCAGTTGTCAACAACACCGAGAAACTCATTTATTCAAACAAAATTCTTGTTGGGATATGACCGAACAAAATAATTGCGAGAACCAAAATTTGTCTTCTTCAAAGAACAAGAAAAATTTACTTATTTTTTTTTTAATAATAAAACAAGTCAATTCTTGGATTTAATTAATACTACGATGGCATACCAGGCGTTAATCTAAATATATACGTACAAAAATGTCGAGTTTTCCAGTGTTCACATTAATCCGTTTATCTGTATCATTTGCTCTCGCGAGGTGGAACGTGAACGCGCATAAAATGAGAGACTCTCTCGAATATATGTATTTTATTATACATACATTAATGAAAATATATACATGGTAGACTGCGGCTTCTCGAAGCAGCGAAGTGTCAATATAATTAGCTACAGTATTCGTACGCGAATCTGTTTTTCGACGACGTCCTCTCGATAGCCGAGGTCTGTCGAGGTTTCGGGAGGCACGTGTAGGCCGACACGTGTAGACCATGGGATGTTGTACGTAAAACGTTTCTGTGTTTTGTTTGTTTATATCTTTCTTTCTTTTAGTTGTCGGAGTTCTCGTTTACCTTTCAAATGCGGAGGATGCGTTTAAAAATGACGGCCGATCCGCCCGATCCGACCCGATTCGATCTGATCCGACAGCGAATCGGTTTGTGTCGCGCTATCACGAGACTGACTATGTCAATCCGTCGAAACACGCAGCGGGTACCAGAATACTTTCGCTGACTTCGATTAATATCTCAATCTTTGTCTCTCTTTCACACCCTCTCGCCCTTTCACTCTGTTTCACTCTCTCGCTCGCGTTTCTCTCTCGCTCTCGCTCGTTCGCTCGCTCGTTCACTCTCACTCTCTCTCTCTCTCTCTTTCTATTCTACTTACACAGCCAGACAATTGCTCGATCACTCGGCATCAACGCTTCGATCTCTTATCCCCTTAATTATCGTTACAACACGTTTCAACGGTCACAACTGCGGATGATTATTACAATCGATTAAACTGTAAGTGGCAATCATCGAAAAGTGATGGTACTTCGTCCCTCTTTCTCTCTCCCACTCTCTCTCAACTCTCTTCACCCCTCTCGGTTAACAGAAATTCAGACGGATGTCGCGATCTGAAAATCGTCTGCAAATTCCGCACGCTCGCAGTCATCGGGACTCCCGACTTCGCGTCTCGTTCTCGTCCGCGTAGTCATTGTCTCGATCGCGGGCTTCGCGCAACGTCGACCACCGCCATCGGATGCACGCGATGGCGATTAATGACTCTCTAAATTCCTTCAAGTGAAATCTCGCTCAAAAAGTAGAGCGACAGCGGAGTCACTCGGATTCGAATGATTTTTCAGAGTGAATCATTCTCCGCTACAAATCGTCGAGTCAATATTTCCGCTCGAAACTAAGGAGTGATTCTGATTTGTATTCCACGGCAACAGATTCACTCTGATCACTTGAAACACTTACTCGTATTTCAGATCTTATCGTCAAACTGAAACAAATTTTACGAATAAAAATAATATCTAAAAATTACGAGTTTTTCCGCTGAAAGCAGATTATAGTTAGTTAATTTCTCAAGAAAAATTAAAAAAAAATTAATATTTAATAGAATCAATTTAAAAATAGAAACTGACACAGTCAGATATGTTCCCAACAGTCAGGTATGGTCACTGTCTGCTTTCTAACAAATCCGATAAAAGCAGTTTAAAAATAAAATCACGGTTCTTCTCTTTACGAACATTGTGTTGTCGGTATTATTATTACTTTCTATTTCCACTGAATTTTTCGTTTTATCCGTAAATAAGCTAATTATTGGACATGATTTCTTAGTAACCGAGTTTTTCTTTAAAGTGCTCAAGTCGAGTAAAAAAAAAAAGGTGAAATATTCTGAAACAAGTGAGAAAATGTGAGAAAAATGCTTCCATGCGTGTTGTAATATTGTCGTAATGTTACTGTTGGTTCGTGTTCACCGGGATGAAGTCAGAATCTTCCCTAAGCATTCACCCTTGGCGACTTCGAGCGACGGTGCGTCTACTATCGCTTCGAGTGAGAAAAATATATTTCACTCGTTTCGAGTGAGATTTCGCTGCGAGAAATTCAGGGAGAATACCGACGACCGGCGAGACGAGGACGTGCCCGCGAGTCTTCCAGCCGCGAATCTCACCGTGGACGCGCACACGATCCCATCCGCTGACGCCCCGGCGCCGAGACAAGCTTTGGTTCAGCCAAACAACACGTATTGTGTACGAGCGTTACGATCTGTCGCGCGCGGGAAAGAGCTCGCGTCCCGCGGCGAACGGTAACCGCGTCAACGACAATTTTTTTTTCAGATACAGATTAGCTTTGTTACATTTCAGGCACTGCGATTGACTTTTTGTATCTCGAGCTTGGCTCGCGCCCGAGCAGCAGCGGCACGGTTCGGTCGGGATCGATCGACCGATCGCTCTCTTTCTCTCTCTGCCCACGGGGAATCGTCGCGGGGTGAACGATTTTCTTCCTCTCGTTCGAGCTGCAATGAGCTCCGTCGTATCTTTGGCGTCGATAGAAATTACGCGATCGCGACCTCGGGAGAGAGACTGAGAGCGCGCGAAAAACGTTCACCCTCCTCCCTTCGACGAGCGCGGGGAGAACAAACGGAGAAAATGACGTTGTGCGCGAATAGAACGGGTCGACGATGCCGTGATCGGAGTGAATCTTCTCGATTCGACAGCGAGCCAACAGTGAACGCTAACCAATGTCAACGTTACTGTTGGTTGATGTTTGATGATTGGGCAACAGTAACATCAACGCCATGATTTCTCACTGAAAGACGTAAATGATGCATACAACGTGTTATATTGCACTTACGTTGTTGGGTGGGTTAATTATTATTAACATTTTGTATTCTTACTATTAGTTGATGTTTACTAGATAATAATGACATTACATCAATGTCATAATTTCTCAATCAACGACGTAACTGTTATATGCAACATATATGCTTACATCGTTAAACGGAAAATTATAACACTGGTGTGACGTTACTGTTTGTGTTTACTGGGTAAGCAAGTAGCATGATATCAATGTCATAATTTCTCATTCAAAGTACGCAACAGTTACGTACAACGTATGTTACATTGCACTTACATTGTTGAGTCGGAAAATTACAACATTAATGTAACATCGCAGTTGTTTACCGGGATATTATTGAAGCTGCGACATATCGAATTGTTTCGATAAGCATCAGCCTCGATGAGATCGCTATTGAATCAAGAAGATTCGCTCGAATTACGGCGCTGTTGACCGATTCTATTGACGCAACGGCGTCTCTTCTTCTCTCGTGCCGAGAGAGCGATCGATGCGATCCGCGGGGCGAGAAACGACCACGCCGGGGCGAGATGCCCTCCTCTTCCTCCGGGGAGGAGAGACCGCGCGACGCGTTCGTTCGCTCGCTCACTCGCTCGCTCGCGAGATTCGCGATACGACATCGGAAACATCCCTTCGGCCGCGCGTCGCGAGATGCGGCCGCCGGGTCATTTACGATTCACCTCGTCATCATGCGCGAGTAACGTACACTGCTTAATTATTACAACTTGACTTCGAACGATACGTTACAATGATCACGTTATTTCCACTAGGGATGACATGCAGCGTATAAAACATATCTTATCTATATATTTATTTTTACTGGTGTATATATCTAGGTTGCCGCATCCGTTATTTTCTGTGACACGCTATGCTCAATATATGTATACGCGGTACGTCTCTTACACGCTACCAAGGATTAACAGTCGATACTTCTTCCTTCCTGTCACCTGCTGCGCCCTCTCTCTCTCTCTCTCACTCACCCTTACTCTCTCCTGCCGTACTTTTCCTAACGCAACGGCACATGCCATGTATCGGTATTAATCGGGCTCGCGGGGTTCGCGATACCACGAATCAAAGACAGAGGAAGGAAAACGAGGTGCGTCTCGCTTGGCGGATATTGCACTTCGAAGCTGGACCGCTTGAAATCTCTCTCTCTCTCTCTCTCTCTCTCTCCGTATCCGGCGTCCCTTCCGCCCTTATCTTCCGCTCATCTGAGTTTCTCCCTTCCCTCCTCTTCGTCACACGGCTCTTCTTCTTTTTGGTCTTTCACCGGCCACCGTCCACAAACTGCGTCTCCCGGCCTCCCCGTAAAAATCTGGCAAGAGTACGCCTCTAAAAATATATATAGCCAATGTGTGTGTGTGTATGTGTAGAGTGTCCTTTATTCCAAAATAAACTTTGTCGAACCCAAATGTTCCGCGTCGCGAGAACTTCGTCGAGGGAACCGGCGCGCCGTGGGATCTCTTCCCCGGCGCGCCGGTGCGCGCAATCAAATGTATGGAAAATCGCAATCCACGTGTGTATCCAGGGGGTTCGTCGGGTTCCCGAGGGAGGACATGTGTCCGTTTCCCGGCTCTCGGTAAACCGTCGATATTAGCGCGTATCTCTCTTCACTAAGCTGCGCGTCCTCGCAGCGTGAATCGGCGCTCGTCCGTGCACGCGCTTCCCAACAATGATCCGGTCGAGAATTTGCGCCGATCTCCTTGCGAGTCGGACTTTGCATACGCTGGGTCAAGAATCAGACGTCTATCTTTCTATCTCTCCTTTTCTCTCTCTCTCTCTCTCTCTCTCTGTCTCCTTCTGTCTCCTCCCTTTCGTTTCATCATTATCGTTTGTTCAGTTTGTCCCTCACCATCGGGCACATCGTCACTGTACTGTGTCACACGGAGTATCCGGGGGTCAGTTCGCGAAAATCGCGGGATACCGCGGTTTACCGCGTCGCGATACATCCGTGGCGTGTGGCTTCGTCAACACCGCCGCCATACACGTTTTAACCTAGGCTTAAAAAGTAAAAACCAGCCGGCGCGCTCGTCGCCGGCTCGAAGTTAATCGACTTTTTTTTTTTTAACACATTAACGCTTTGATTCGTTTGTCAGTCTGTGCTCTCCTAGTCCATGACAAGTTAAAAAAACAAAAGGAAAAAAAAACAATAAAAGAAAAAGGAAAAGTAAAAAAAAAGGAAAATAAGGAAAAGATGTCCGGGGTCTGTCGAGGAGAAAAGGTGATTCTTGTTTTTTTCTCTTTTTTCCTTTTTCTACGTTATATACGCGGGTACTCGTAGGTCACGACCCGCGGACAGAATACCGTCTGTCCGCGAATCGATATTAAAATGCATCTTTCTCTCTCTCTCTCTCTCTCTCTCTCTTTTTCCCTCTCGTGTGCCACCGCTGACGCGCCAGCGATGGTCTCCACTGCGAGTCTCCTGAAAGACGATACTCGAGCGTCTCTCTTCCTCCCTTTCTCCTTCTCATCCTCTTCCACTCCCTTTCTCTCCCTTTTCTGTCTCGAGTGTCCACAATCACAATAATACGTCGAAATTTCCGTCGTTCGAGACTGAATTGTGCGCCCTTGAATCGCGGCGAATTAAAACTCCGCGACATGCGTTCTCATACGAAAGGAAAGAAATTCGTAGGTGTCGCTCGGCAATCGTGTACGCGCGATCGTTAATACTTCTTTTTTTTTCGTTTTTGTTGACTTTTAACAAACACCGAGAGAAGAAAGTTTTTATCCTTTTACTTTGCCGCCGGACCGAAAACGTTCGCGTTATAACGCGTCGACGTTTCGCGTTCCACTACACGATAAAACGATAGTAATATCCTAATATCACGACGAGATTCGATTCGCGGTCGCTATATCGTGTTTTTTTTTCGCGCGTATTTTTTTTCGCCTTTTCCCTTTTCTCGTTTATCAATATAGCATTAGAGGCAGTGTTCGTTGAGAAACTGCTACGGGTACACACGCGCACACACACGCATACACCCGCCATCCGACCGGTCGGCCGGGACGAGTGTATGGAGGTGAAATTTCCTCGGACGCGATTCTCTCACGTAAATTACACCGGACCTTCCCCGCCGGCCCTTCCCTCCTCCTCGTAGCGCCCGTGGTCGTGCGCGGGCGCACCGTTTAATATATTTATAAGATATTTACGCATATCTCAAAATAAGTATCTCGTGCTTATCGACCGACACACGAATCGATAAGCCTGCTTGCGTAGAGCTCGCTGGCTAAAATACACGGCGATCGCGCGTGTCCCGCAACGCGTCTAATCGAAACAAGCGCGTCTTTCGAACACGTCGCGCGAGTGAGTAGAAGCTGAGAAAGCGCGTCGTCCTTGTCGTGGTAATTATCGTCGTTCCTTAACCGCGCGGACTTAAAGCGTGACGCCAAATGAGGATCATCACAGAAACAATATCACTAAGGAAACCTGAGAATTTCTTTCCTTCGCAGACTATTTTTTTCCGCACGTAATAACCGAGGTTAGCAGCAATGCGCCGTGTACTATCGCGATAACGGAGTACAAATAGAAATAATCGTAAGTAGTAGCAGCGGTAGTAGTAGTAGAGTAGTAGTAGTAGTAGTAGAAGTAGTAGTAGTAGTAATAGTAGTAATAGTAGTAGTAGTGATGATGATAGTAGTGGTAGCAGCAGCGGTCGTAGTGGTAATTGCAGTAGTAGCAGCAGCAGCAGTGGCTGTGTTGGTGATGGTGACGTACTTCACTCGTTGCGTGTGGAGCTCGAATCGATTTTAAGGATTTGGGATTGACAACGAGTCCCGTTTTCACTGTCAACGATGGGCGGCGACCAGAGTCGTCGCGCGTTCCTCTGGCGACCGCCAGAGAGAGGTCCCACAATCGCCGGGTTAGCCGGCGACCACCGATAAGAGTCCCACTAATCCCGTCGGTATATCGGACGATTTACTTCGGAGTTAGTTGAAGGCAGAATCACAGAATGACGCAGCACCGACAGTATCGTGGTCGCGAGGCTCCCGCGCTGGGCGGAGGGGTCACGGGTGCGAAATACGCGTGCACCTTTATGTTGGGTAGATGGGTCTGCAAGACAGAAAAAAGAAACGATCGTATTCATCATCGGACAAGCCAAGGTGTATGCGCGTCAAGATCTGATCAACAGGTTATATACTTCGATCACGTGATTCCTTCCCCATGGCGGAAACGTGAAAAGTTACTATCCCCCCTCCTGCTGCTGTTCTGTTCTATCTGACCCTAACCGAAATCATTTTTATCTCCCTATAATTTCATTCGCTGAGAATGGCCCGAATTAGACCGAAATGCATAAATATGTGTTGAATCGTCAACGACATTTCAAAGGTTATCAGTATTGGTAGTCAACTTTTCCCACTTAGTGTCTTTGCTCTTATCAGCCCGGTCTTTGTTAATGTTTAATCTCAGAGCCAGATAACATTAAGACGTCCTAAGATGTCATAAAGATGTTTTTTAGACAATAAGACATCTAAAAGACCCTTTTAAGACGTCTTTTAGACGCAAGTGTTGTTTGTGTTACTCGTATAATTACAAATATCTGATATTTTAATCATATTCAAATTAGAACATTTTCAATTTTTCACACGCTTATGCTGAAGGAAAAAATCAATAACTGCCCGGAGGTTGATCGTGAATCATTTCTTCCAGCGTGAGCTCATGAAAATTTACTAATTTCAAAGCATTCGGAAATGTCTGCTTCCGCCTTAGAGAAAAGTCACGTGACCGTCCTGGAACAGCGCGCGCGCGCGCGACGACGATCGTTCACGCGCGGCGAAACGCACAAGAAGAGAAGAGTATACGGAGTTGAAGCACCGTACCAGTGTCTAATGACACGTCATATACGAAGCGCGTTGTCGATTGTGTACGCTAAGAGCGTGATTCACCGGAAAAAGCGGCATTAATTACGCCGAACGGCACCGAGTATCGTAATTAAGCGGGGATTATACATGTTCGCGGAACGCAAATTGTAACGCGAATCTGTAATTCATAAACTGTTGCGTGATATATGCAAATGACGTCCTTCTGTGTGAGCGTAACGCTACACGCTGGAAGGCGCTTTTTCGTCTCGGCCAGGTTGAAACGGTGAAACGAAGAATAGGAAACAAGGGACAATACTCTGAGTCTACGTATGCCAGCTCTGGTGATCAGTTGGCAGTCGTAAAGCTCGATACGCTCCAGATTGTGGCAGGCCTGCAGCAGATGATCCAGGCTGGCGTCCGTGATGAGCGGGCAGTTGTCCAGCTCCAAGACGGCTAGGTGTTCCGCCGCGCACGGCGACAGGGCCAACTGGCGGATACCCTCGTCGGTGATCAGCTCGCAATGCGACAGACTCTGCGCTCGGGAACGGCAAAAATGTTACGCACCCGTGCTGTACAGGCGACGTCATATATGCTGTACCGAAATGTGAAGAGTGACGATTTCAAACATTTTCAAGTTAGAAAATTTACATTCTTGTCACGAATTCATGCTAGAGAAGATTCATGATCAACCCACAGGGGGCCATGAATCTTCTCTTCTATATAGTACGAACTCGTGAAAAATATAATTTACTAATTTGAAAATGTTTGGAATTTTCACTTGTCACGTTTCCGCCCTAGGGAAAAATTACATGATTGATACTCTGGAGCATTATTTATGCACCATAACTGTTGATAATTTAATTAAATCAGCAACTACTCTTCCAAGTAGCAGTCGTCATGCGCAAATATTCAAACATAATGCGCCTAATTGAAAATTGTCAATGTTATTATATCTAGGGAATGAGACAGTATTGATACTGCTGTATGAGGCTGAAGATTGTGTAATTCTTTGTCTAAGGAATGGTACAACATACACCGTCTTACCCGTTATCGAGAGTTCTCAATAGAGGAGAGAGAGAGAGAGAGAGAGAGGAGGTGATACGCGACGATTAGCTTACACTAAATGGAAAAAATCGCACAAGATAAACAAACGATGGCAATGTACTCACCAGTTTCTCCAATCTCGGACAGCCCATCGCGAGGTGAATGAGGGTAGCGTCGGTTATTAAAAGGCACTCTTCTAGATCCATCTTCTCGAGTAGTCTGCAGTTCTGAAAGTTGGAAAGTCGAATAGAGCGAACGGGGGAAAGAGAGAGAGAGAGATATCTATTCTTCACAATTGTGCGATACACGCGAACGCGCTGGACGCGCGTCTCAGCGGCGAAATGTCGCGTGTGCTCGACTGAACTCACTTTCGCGAGAGCCTGAAAGCCCGCGTCCGTGAAATGGGTGCATCCGACGCACTCGAGTACACTGAGAAGTGGACAGTGCTGTGCCAGAGTGACCAACGACGCATCCGTTAAATTGGGGCAATTCGACAGGCAAACGTAGTGCAGCCGTGGACACCGCTCGCTGAGTTCCCTAACTGCGTCGTCTGTTATATTCTGCAAGGAAGGATGCCCAAAATGATCCTCGCTCCTGTCGCCGCCGGCGCGACGCGCGCTCGAGTCGCAGGACGCGGTGAATTCTCATGAATAACGAAAAGTAATCGCCGTCCGCGACTCGTCGACCGAGCGCGGGGGGAGGGGGCAGCAGGAGGACTCGAGATTTCTCGAATATCGTCCGCGTTATCGGGATCTTCGATCCTCTCGCTCGCTTCTAATATACATTTTCGCTTTCTCGCGGACGACGCGAGAGAGCGGTCGCTCTCTACCCGCCGTCCCCCCTCCGTCCGCCATTAAATCTAATTCAAACTGTAAATACACCGTTCCGCACACACGTGGGCGAGCCGTCCTCCCAATTTTCTCCGCTTGAAGAAGAGAGAAAGAGAGAGAAAAAGATGGAAAAAGTATAAGAGAAAGAAGAGATATCGCGGCGTCTTTATTGTGAGACAGGGGAGGCGCGTCTCTTTTTCTCTTTCTCTCTTTATCTTCTCCCGCAGAGCGAAGAGAAACGCAAGAGCGATATCTCTCGTCGGCGACAAATCCGGGCGGCGCGCGACCGCGGAGGAGAGTCTGACGGCGGCGCGGTTCTTCACTCCCCCCTGCCCTCTCTGTCGTGGCGTAACGCGGATTTGCGGAGTCAATGGGATAAGTACCCGGCATTCGTGTAGATTGATTGCTTCGAGATTAGGACAATAGCGCGCTAAACACTTTACAGCCCGATCCGTCAGCTGGCGGCATCCCTTGCTGAGGAAGCTACGGAGCTCCGGGCAACCCCTGGCGAGCGCCTCCACCCCGTTGTCGGTGAGCAGCTCGCACCACGAAAGGTTGATGTGGGTGAGCAGCGGGCAACCGTCCGAGAGATCCTTGAGGGAAACGTCCGTTATCTCGGGACAGGAGTCCAGATTCAGTCGCTGGAGCTTCGGGCAATGACTACTGAGCGCCGCACAGGTCGCGTCCGAGATCTTCTTGCACTGGCTCAGATTAAGCTCCTCGATATTAGGACACGATTGGGCTAAGGTACGCATCGAGTTGTTGCCGATGCTCTGACATCCCCTGAGCGAGAGCTGCCTGAGGAATCCGCCGCAACGCCTCGAGATATTTTCTATTACTGGTCCCTGCGCACACACACAGACAGACAGACTGTAGACGCGCCCGATTTTCTCCTTCTTCCTCCCCGCTTTCCCCTTTTCCTTTCTTTTTTACTTTATCTCGTTAATAATCGAACCGCGCGCGATCCCCGCCTCCTTGTCTATATTACCTCCACGTCTCGTTGAAAGTCGAAGAGATCGATCCTCTGCCAATTGGACCCATCGAGCGCTAACACGTTCCAGGCCTTGCTTACTTGGGCACAACGGCATAGCGATACGACATCGAGGTACGAAAGAATTCTGTCAATCACACACAGGATTCGTTAGAGCGCCGCGCGTTTTGCCCGCGTCGCGTAGTAAGTGTATACATGTGTGTGAGTATGTGCGTGCGCACGCTGCTTCGTGCGGCACTTAGCGCCTTGCGAACGGGACGTGTAGACTCGAGTCGTTCGCGAGGCTAATGGGACGTAACGTCTTCGCGTTTTACGCGATCGCCGTTAAAATGACGAGAGAGAGCGTTAAACGAATTTTCGTCTGGCGGAAGGCGATAATACACGAGATGTCGATCCCGAATCTTTTTTCGGAACGCTTCTCAGACGGGCGGATCTTAATTTCGAATGCACAATCTTCGGTGTACATTTACATACGCTTCGTCCTTCTCTCGCGATTCGATTAAGTAATAATAATAATAATAGTAACTTCGGTGGTCCCAGAAAATAAAAACTATAAAAATCGCAAACGATGAGAGCAAATAATGTACGAAGTAGGGAACCAATAGGCGGGACATTCAACAATATAACTGCCTCACCTGTGAAAGTACGTGAAAAGCTTGTAACGAGATATAATTATTAAGGAAAGATAAAATTATTAAAGATTGTATAATAGAGGAGAAGGGGTGGTATAATGGCCTTTGTAGATATTACGGCTCTCTTACGTATCTCCATTATTAGGTGATGAATTTTTGTGATTACTTATGGAATCATTTATTTAGTAACTCTCCGTTACGTAGTGGCGCTAATATGCCAACACACAATAGCCGGCATTTGTCGTAACACATTCCCAGACATAACGTCTAAAATCGGAACATAAGACATCTGAAAGACATCAAAGTAGATTTTAGCATTTAATTACACATAATTCTTCATTCTTCTCAAGTTTGAGCGTATTATCACACGAATATATATGCATTTGAGTGCTCTGTACGTTAACATTTCATTCGGTTGTACAGATTTCGAGATATGCAAAATTAAACAACAGCATGACAATTTGCTGATGGGGCCCAGGGGAATGCTGATAGTACGACCTCTTTTTCGAAGTTTTCATCTCGAAATAGTTATTCAAGAAATCGATTCTAATCCACAGTTCAATGCTGCACTGCTGTCTCTCTGATAGATTGTATCTTCTGACAAATAAATCAATCTCTACATTGAAAATTCACATTTATATTCATTGTTATTCCTTTAAAGAGCTTATTTTGAGTGCATATATAATTTTGTAACAAAACACTGTGTTATCTTAAACGAACCCATTTTATAAATCTATTGTAGTTATAGAAATTACATTACCATACCTGCTTCTTTTCAACTCAAAGTGCAGTGTCGCCACATTTTTAGAAAAATAACGTTGTAAATAATGAATATTTCATGACATTGGGTCTAGAGTCGATTGAACGACACTTTGCGAATATAATTGTACGGTTTCTCGATCAAAAATATTGATTGTTGACGAAATTATTGTACAAAATGTAAATGGAGGAAGGGAGGACCATGATACCACTTTTTCCCCCGGAATAATTAAAATTGCGAGCGCGACGCCCGGCTTCGCGGGGACAAGCGCGCGCGCGCGTAATGCGACGTAAACGCAGGAGGCGTCTCTCATATATTTCTATTTCCACCCTCCGTGCGCTCTCCATTGTCGAAACCGATCGTGCCCGCCTGATAACATTCACGCGTCTTATCGCGAGCGCGCGAAATACGACGGCCCATTCTCAACGCGCGAAAGCTCGAGTGTAATCGTCTGCGTGTCCCGCTGCTGTCGTAGTCGTCGTACCTGAGTAGCAATTCTTTTGGCAGTTTCTTGTTAATCTGCGCCTCGTCATCGTGAAACACCCATGTTAGCTGCAACGAAACACAGAGACACGTGATTACGAGGCCGGCCGCGGCCGCGCTCGCGTTATCACCCTCGCGACGGACGCCGAGCGAGAGAAGCCGCTGACGTACCGTCTCCGTTGTGTGTACGTGTGTGAGAGACAGGGAGTAGAGGAGGATGACGAGAGAGAGAGAGAGAGAAAGAGAGAGAGAGAGAGAGGACGATGACGACGGTGTGGCGGGCGTGAAGGGGTGGCATATAACACACGTTGGGCACTTTATGGCGGGGCGTTACAGGGGAAGGCCTTTACGGAGCGCGTAAAGCTAGCGCATTGACATGCCCGACGGAGTCTAGATTAACCAACCTGCATGTAGGATTGCTTCATGGTAGTGACAGGGTTGTTGTGAGTGTGCGATTGCGATGTAGAGTAACCGGCCTGATGATGATAATGGTGATGATGTTGGCGATGATGATGATAATAGGAAAGATGCTGCTGCCGCCACCATTGTCCGCCGGAACCGGAATCTTGGACCGCCTGTTGGCCGACCTGGCCCCTTCCTATCACTCCCACGCGACTTACTTTTTTCTAGAACACATCCCAACGTGTCATCGGCGCCGTCAGCCCGGGGAAACCGGGGGCCACGCGCGGCTTTTCCCCCCGGCGCACGTCCCCGAGAGAAATTTTGCCGGAGTTCTTCCGCGGAAAAGAAAACGGCGCGGAGCGATCCTCGCGAGATCATTTCCAGACGTTCCGGAGACGCGCGCGAACACGCCCGCTCTCTTCGTCCCTCTACGTAGCGACTCTTTCATTCGGCCCGGATTTCATACGGCTCGTCGACGCGATAACGTGCACACTCCGCCCGTAGTTATCCGCGGCGTAACGTAATTTTCGCATTAATTATGATAATTTCCGATTCTAATAGTCGCGCGTCACACGTGCCAGATTGCGGTACAACATCTGCGACCTCGAGGAATTCCGTGGCTGCGCGCGCGACGCTTCCCTTCCTTCCCTCTCGCGGAAAGGATTCATATCGCCGATCCCGGTGCGAACAATAGCGTATGCAAAGTCGGGATTCGAATGATATTATTGCGACAGGACGCTTCGATCGGAAAGCGATGCGGCTCGTGTTATAATTCGCAAGCGGATACCGTATCGTGTGTTGGTGCGGCCATTGTATACCGTGCGCGCGTTTCCAGAGGACTAGACGCGGCCGCGCGCGCGTACGCACGCACGCACGCATACAGCGCATCGTCAGTAACATCGGCGCTTGATTAACGCGTACGCGCAACCGCCGCGTATCTCGTATCCTTTATTAATTAGCGTGGGACGCTCATCCCCCTGCCGTCGGTCAGCGACGGGTTCCCGCCGGCGCGTCTCCTTTCGTCTCGCCCCGTTCGCCGGGCCTATTCTGTGACTTTTGTAACGATAGCGTCGTTACATTGTCGTTAAACTGTCGTTGCGCAACTATGATACTGCGAATGATAAAAAAAAGCCAGCGCAACGATAACGTATCGATAAGGACGCTGTGGTTGAATCTGAATCTACAACAGATGCGCGGCAAGCCTTTAGCCTTTCTTCTCTAAGTAGTAAAATAGTAATAATAATGATGTAATGCATAAAATGTAACGTAATTGTTGACAAAGGCGTTTCTCACGTTACCAAAAGTTGTGATAACGCTTAAATCTTAGCAATTGCGACATCTGATCGCGCGGGAACACTGTAATTTAGTGCGTAGAGTAAAAGGCTAAAGGCTTATACCTATCGTACATGGAGAAAATATCCAAGTTGGGCATTACTCGTTGTTTACATTATTTTTTATTCGAATATGTATAATTATTCGTTATTTGCATTATTTGTTATTCGTCGTTTATTATTTACGTTATTGTTGGCGTGTGCCGATGTGTGCACATGAAAACTCAAATTTCATTATATTTTTATTTAACATATTATACAATCATTCTATCATCCCAGCAATATATTAAAAAAAAACTTCTTATATCTATAAAGTAAACAGAGAAAAATAAGACAAATAATAAATAATGAATAACAAATAACTCGAATAACGAATAATACGAATAATAAATAATACGAATAATAAATAAGATACTTGAATATTCATTTGAATATATTATTTAAATGAATATCATTTAAATAATTTATTGATGATTTGTTTGATGATTTCTGAGTAAAAATGTTAATTATAGATTTATTTATTATTTCAAATAAAATTTGCTCAAGTCTGGAAGATATTGTAGTAAAAATATCCACAAAATTTTGTAATGCTGGACCATGCCGGGATTATGACTGAAATTATGTATGTTATAATGTTTAGCGATGTATTTCATGTGCACATACCCACTAGAAATTACAACACACATAATAATTTCGACAATAGCTCTGATATAATCCAGCGCGAAAAATTATTGTAATAATGGGTACTGCAATATTTATTATACAATATATTTTCTCCATGTAGATTACAATTTAATGAGCAAGAGACTAACAACTTACTACGCCTGTTATAGATCCAGTCTAAAAGTTACAGAACGCGGCCCCATCGGGACTCAATTCTGGGCGCTAAATACGTCTTTCCAACCCCCAAGCTGAAGCAACGCTAAACGTGACGCTCGTAAGAAAAACGGAACTTGGAATTAAAAGGGGTGAAGTGACGTTCGTCATGCGTCCGGGACAGAATCCTCGTCTCGTCGGGATTGCGCAAGCGAGCGTTCCTCCTGCACACGACGATGTCGCGCGACCGCATCTTCAACGATGAGGAAGATTCTTCCGCGAGATGCTCGATTATCAGCGGAGTTAATAGAAGTGAAATGCAAAGCGGCGACGAACGAGCGTTCGCTGGATACGGTGGGACATTATAGCGGTGCACACCGACGTTTTCGCAGCCGCGCGCGAGTCGTTCTCGAATGAATCTTGAATGTACCTTCCTCTTGTGCCCCTTTTCGTTTTTTCTTTTCTTCTCAACGCAACGTCGCTTTATCCCGGAAAAAAAGAAAACCGGCTGATGTGTGCGTGCGTACGTGTGTGCACGCCTGTTTGCAGGCATGCGCGTGCAAAAACGTATATATTATAATGACCACACACACACACACACACACACAAAACGAGTCGCTTTACACGCTTGTATATCTCGCAGTAATAACGTAACGTACGCACGTGCACACCGTACTTATATAATACAAATACGAGCACACATGTCCGAAAGATTGCGCAACACAACGGCTTCAATCGGTGCGTTTGTTAATTGGAAAGTACAAGTTATGCATTCGTATTCGCGCATTCGCGCAGGAAAGTACGGTGGAGTGCGGGGAAGGGAAGAAACGCCGGCAAAGCGAGAGAGTTGGGTCGCGCGTGCGCGCATTCCTAACGTTAGTGTTAATTAATATGGAACCGTCGGGCTGTAATAGATGTAAGATGATTGAGGATTAATTATGCGCCGCATTATGCAAGCATCGCGTTGCCGAGCAATGCTCGAGATCGAAATACGCCCACCGCACGCGTGCGTGCATGCACGCGCGCATGTCCGCGCGCGATCGAAATAGAAAAACTATTTTCCCACTCGATAGTGACGAAGGATAGCCTTTTGCGTGTGTGTCTCCCAAGGATAGAATCTGGTGAGGCTATCTTGTCAACGTTAAAAATAAATGCGATGAATTCGCTCGCGGTTTGTTGCATACTACCGGCGCGCCTTCTTGTGTATGGGATTCGTGCGAGGGTGAGACAAGGAAAGGAGAAAAGAAACGGCTTCTGGACGATGTGTGTGTGTGCGCGCGAGTGGTATATGTGTGTGTGCGATGAGGGAGGACGGGGGAGGCGGAATCGTGAGTGAAAATTATCAACGCGGATGGCACAAGATTGTGTACACACGTACACGGTTCCTCCTTGCGAACGTTCATTTACTTAACGTCAATCTCGACGAAAACCCGTTTCCTTTTCGGCTTCTTGCGCGAGAGCAACGAGGAACGGTTAATCTGAAATTGATACCTGCGTGAACGACATTGCGGAAAGGAAGGGAGAAAGAGAAAAAGAAAGAAAGAAAGAGAGAGAGAGAGAGAGAGAGAGAGAAATAGAGGAAAAGGGAGAGAAAACGAAAAGAAAGAGAGTACCTATAAAATTTAGATTATACGTATATAATAGTTTGAAACAGGTATACGTTTTATTACAACACACATGTATATATAGTTACAATATCAAAGCACACGAGAAAGAGAGAAACGTTTACACGAGTTTCTTCGAATATAAAAGCCGATCCCGACGAAGAAAGACGAGAGGCCGAGTTCGCTCGGCTTTTCGCGCACGCAGGACGTCTTGTATACACACGATGCACGTAATACTCCGCCCGAGAATTCACCGTGTTAGTATCGTTGAATTACGTTAATATAACGCTTGGCTTACGGAGGGTTATAACTTACAAGCGCGCGCGTACCGGCGCCGGTTCTACGTGGACATTTATTTATTTAACGCCAATCGGGAGCCGAAGAACTCGTTTCTTCGGCGATAAAAACGGTTAATCCGAAATCGATATCCTCGCGAGCGCGCGTGCGCGCGCGCGAACATTATTACGCGCGCGGTAATCCGTAAGATTTCAAACGTACACAGCGTATAAATTTGGATCACGCACAGTAAAAAAAAAAATACTTTGTACTCCGTGTTAAAGTCGGCCCTTGTGAAAATTTTTGTGTTAAATTTTCGACACAGACGCGTGTGTTGATTTAACATACCGTGTTTATGTTATACTTCAACGTTTTGTGTCGAGTCGATACTCAACGTGTACAAATGTTCAAATCACACATGTAAATGTTAAAATAATCTATTTGATACATCAGTGTCGACTAACATATCGTGTGTATATATTATATTTTTGTCAATTTTTAACATGATATTCGTGTTGCTCTCAAACATATTCACCTTGTGTGTTAAATTAACACAGAAATTTGTGCGGGCCGTTTGGCACACGTGAAATGTGTGAAACTTAACACATGAAATTTTTTACTGTGCATATATTTCATCACACAGCGCGCGTACGTAGTTACAATATCGTTTTCCTTTTTCTCTCTCGCCAAGAGGCATTCGTACACGACGATAGACGACACGACGATAGAGAGCGTTCCCGCCGACAAACTCGCAGCCAATTTCCTCGCATTTAAGCAGCGACATTTCGCGACAACACGTCTCCAAACGCGTTCTCACGACAAGATTAATACGTCACAACGAGTACCCCTACAACAAAAAGTAAAAAAAGGTGGGGATTAAAAGATTAGTACGCGCGTGCACGCAACGCGCGCGTTGGGAGCGTCGTCGTGCATCGCGCAAGACAAATACGCACGGCTGCACCCGGACACTTGCGGTGGGATCATCGAACGGCTCTCACGATTGCGTTCACGCATCGATAAGAGTGAGACTCGGGGACCCGAATTCCGGATCTTATCAATCGTGGGATTTTCCGCTGATGCGTGTGCCGTGTAGTGTCATGGCTTACGCATGTGCGCGGAAGTACACGCATGGATCACCTAACCTTATTAGAGTCAAATTATCCGGTTATATATATTATGAAGTTATATAAAGAGATATAAAGCTAGTGGCGCAAGAAAAATGTAAGCAGCAAAACTCAAGCAATGAGGAAATTAACTAACCAATCAGTATATTTCTTTAAATTTGTTTTCTAAAAAGTGATAATGACTATTGAAATATATAAATCTAAAGAAATATACTAGTCGTTTGGTCAATTTCCTTACTGATCAAGTTTTATTGCTCATGTTTTTCTACGTGCTACTAGCTTAAAGGTTTTAGGTAGATTTTCGTGATTTTTTCGGTTTATATGAAAGCCCGAAAGCGCAACCGAAAAACAGGTAGAGGTAAAACTTGACGTGACATCATCGACTTTAATAATATATTTGAAAAATATTTAAAGAGAACGTATGAACCTTTCGCTTCCTTTATATAAGAGACATGTGACAACTAACCCGGGACATTGTCAGGGGTCGGAGGTCAGTTGTCCAATTTGCATGATGTTGCTTTAAGCTAAATAATTTTTTCAAACAGGAATATGTATAAGGCTACTATTTTTATCAAGTTAAAGGTTGTTAAAATAAAATAATAAAAATTACACAATATTATGAAATATCGTATACATTTTTTTATTCGAACATGAGAAGAGTGAAGACTTCTGGCCTCGGTCTCCGCTACTATGTCGAAGTTTCGTGTGCTCGAAAGTTCCTATTATCATTACTGTTACTACCACTGCTGCTGAGCTCACGCGAGCATTTCAGAGGTCCGACTAAAATTCTAAACCGCAGCTATAGGAGCTGGAACGCGCGCGCGACTAAATTTCACGGGCGAGTTTGCCTCGGTCGCGGGGCGCGTTCGCGGTCGCGGGCCGGAAAATGATCAATTTGCCTTTCGGGTTTCGCGAGACTCGCGCGGTGCAACGCGAAGGTAAACCGAGGCTCGCCTGATTTCGCTCGACGGCCACGAAATTGGGATACGTTATTTCGTCGTTGCACGCGCGAACGCGCATACGGCCCGTCCTTGGAACGACGGCTCTAGGAGCGCTTTTATCAATAATGACCGGTAAATGCATGGATCGCGGGCGGCTCTTCAAACTTCCATGCCTTATCGTATGAAGTATGCACAGGCGTTGCATAAAATTATACAGGATAACGAGCCGGCCAGGAGCGATAGCCATCGATGCGACGGAGATACGCGATTGCGTTCGGCCTTAAAACACGAGCGCGGCCTCCTGAATAATTATGAGTAGTAGCGTAATCCGGGGATCGTCCGAGGCGGGCGAAACCGCGAAAATAGCCGGGCGCGAAAGATTCGATCCTCGACTCGACATTCCGAACGTATTGCGATCCGAGCGTCGTAAGGTAAATGAAATCTGCGAATTCAAGGTTTTCGAGAGAGAAGTTAACGAGAGTGTCAGTATCGCCAAAGTAGGTTCTTATCAGCCTACAGGCCATCTAAGTAGGCGTGAACCATCCTTAACCCTCTAAGAGCAAGGTTGCAGTCGGATACGATCATACGGCTCGTTTATTTTACGTGTACGCGCTGTTCTTCTTCTTAAGGAATGTTTCACGTTATCATTCGCTTCTTTTACTCACTCTGCACATTAATTACAGGAAAAATTAACAAAACATGATCCCACAGCAAAAGAGACGTTTATTCATTATATATTATAGTAATATTTTTTAAAATATATTCCTGCTTATTGTTCCATATGATTTTTGTGCTCTTCCCTTGTTTTAATCAAACAGAACGCATATTCATATATTTGTGGAGCCATTCATATTCACATCCTGCTACTTCACCTTTCCTTGCGAGGGTTAAACGTTCGACATAGGGCCAAAATTTGCACCCGAAGTACTTGTACAAATACAGTCCCCCCTTTGGCTTCGAACGACAGTCGAATTTTATACTTTCGGAACACGGAAAGAGGCAAATAAAAATGTCGATTCGTGTACGTATCTTGCTAATTGCCGCGCGATCATGAGGGCAAACGTGTCGCGCGTCTTCGCTCCGCCCGACGGCGGGGCCCCGATTCTTAACGAGCGAACGCTTCTCGACCGAACCGCGAAATTTTATTCTCCGACGTCGACGCGAAGCCACGAACGAAATGTCGCGAGGTGTCTCGGCAAAAGTAATTACACATATCGATAAACTCATCGCCAGACGACCACACTCAAGATTAGACCGGGAAACGCCTTTGTCTGCGCGCCACGATGAGTAAACAAGTTAATACACGTGCGCGATCTTAATAGCATTATCGTCCGCCCGCGGATTTGCCCGGGGAGCTAAAAGTTACCGGCGCGTTCGCAAATTAATCCTTGGACGCGAAAATTAATAACTTCGTTATTACTTAATTCGCGACCCAGTTGCTGGGATATTTAACGTTTCGAATTACGAAGAGTTACGTGAGGTGGAAGACTGGCAGGTGGTGTAGAGTCTCTACAATAAGAGGCTGGACACCGTATGTTTGATTTCTGATTGGCAAATAAGTTACAAACATTGAAGTTGAAGCGAGAAAAGTGGTTTTGTCCACAAATCACTTACGAATCAAACGGCGTTAGCAAAAAAAAACAGCAAATCACATGAAGGGTTAAAAGGGAAATGAATTTGTGTGTTTCATATTATGATTATTAATTTATTTTGATTTGCACCTATTTTAATAATATCTGAACATTTCACGTATTATAGCTGTGAAATTCCGGTTTTTGATCCAAACATGGCAGCCACAGCGACGGTGTTCGTTCTTACTATAGAAATTCTAGTAGGAAGGAGAGAAAGAAGGAAGAAGAGAAAGAAGGCGAGAAAGAAAAAAAGAAGGAAGGAAAGAAGAGGCGGCCGTCGATCTTCTTACCGACGAAGAGTTCGCGTGTTTCCCTCCGGAGATCCGTAACGCGTCAAAACACAAAATTTAAAAAAAAGAGTAAAAAAATCACGAATAGACTCGAATCGAGACACGCCTCGATCGTATCCTCTCTCTCTCTCTCTCATGGCAAGAGGAGAGCTACTTTCGGCTCGGCCGTGCCTTGCGCGCGCGAATTCCTCGGGCTCAAAAGCGGGTAAAATAAACGGACATCGATTCGGCATTCGCCTTAAATACACACAGGCCCGCTGCATCACGTTGCTGCGATAACATATGCGCCACCGTGTGTTAAACGCGGAAGACAAATAGCGACGCGCGCGGGGAAGGGGGGGGGAGACCGAGAGTCG